TGAGACACTAGAGGTCTCTAGTGTCCTACATTTGTTGTAATTGTCATTTGTAATTGGAGTTTGATTTAACCTACTTTTGAGTTCATTGTATACTTTTATTTTTGCTTGTTAATTAAAAGGGTCACCAATTATTTACTATTTAATGTCTGTGTTACTTCCTTTCATCCCTAGGAACAGGTTGTAACAATATTGGAAATGCTGTATTCGCCTAAAAGAAGGTATTCAAAATTCAAAAATTTCATAAGTTTCAGGTTTGTTTTTGATGCTCTGAGTCTCCCGTTCCTGTTGCTCTCCACACTAAGTCACTCCCCCTTCAGAGCGAAGTTGTAGTGTATTGTTTTGTTTAGTGCTTTTGTATATTTATAGAGAACAGTCGTGTCGGGCATGGGTGACTTAGGCTTGTGGGCGGAGCTTTGGACAGGATCGTACAGCTAACCATAAAGCGGGTTCGAATAGAGTCTGAGAAAGATCACTAGATTATGCTAGGGTGACCAAACGTCCATTTTTCCCTGGACATGTCCGTATTTTGCGTCTTGTCCTGGGCGTCCAGTTTTTTTTTTAAAGTGATGGAAATGTCCGGGTTTTCAGTACTGTTCATTGGAGGCATTAAATCGATCGTCTCTTGTAGTTCTCTGTGACTCAGAAGGAGCGAGACACAAACAGTCGGTCAGTCTGCAACATACCGAAGCATAAATGTGCATTTAACAATGACTTGAACAAGAAATTCTCCGTTTTCCGTCCCGGTCGGGACAAGTGTGAGTCCATGTGCACAGGTTGTGAGGTGAGAGTACAGTGTCCCTCGTTTATCGCGGGGGTTCCGTTCTAAAAATAACCTGCGATAGATGAAATCCACGAAGTATCAACTTTATATTTTACAATTATTATATCTGTTTTAAGTCTGTAAAACCTCTCAGCACAAACTTTATACACTTTTCTCACACAGGACAGTTACAACCCTTTTTGCGTCCTTCTTCAAACTTATTGCTGCTGTCGTCCTTTTGTTATTTTCCTCCTTTATGTAACGAACCCAAGATTCATTTATTCCGTAATAGAGCCCTACAGCACAGAGTCCTGCACGGCTCCATTTTTGGAGATCTGCAGTACAACAGCACACCCGGCCGTTAACCCGTGATTATATCAAGCTTTTGCGCTGCCTACGCCATGGACTGAACCAAGACTGAACCAGAACTGAACCAGAACTGAACCAGAACTGAACCAGGACTGAACCAGGACTGAACCAGGACTGAACCAGGACTGAACCAGGACTGAACCAGGGCCGGAGGTGACCGCAGGAGAAGGGACTGATGGAGAGCTCCACACCTCACGGAGGTAAACGCGGCAATTGCCCGATCGCGCTTTGCAGACAAACTGCTCGGCGTTCTCTCTCTTAAGTCCAAGATTAGTCCTGGTTTAGACCTGGTTTAGTCCTGACCCACCCATGTGTTAAAAAAAAAAAAAAAAAACACGCAAAATTGACACAAAATAAATAAATAAATAAAAAATCTGTGAGGCCGCGAAAGGTGAACCGTGATATAGCGAGGGACGACTGTAGCTCAATGTCGGGGCCCCACCTCCCACCCCCGGTAAGGTGTCCGGGTTTTCACAAACAGAAATATGGTCACCCTAGATTATGCAAACATGCATGCAAAACCTCTCCAATCTTTTGATGAGAGAACAACTTTATAACATTGTGGAAAGCTCCAAACAGTCGAATTTGCAGAATACACCGCCTTTAATCGGTGGAGTAACAAGGTTGCCATTGTATTACGTTCAAAACAACAAACTCATTTAACTATTGATGTTTTCCTCACATTTTGTCCATCTTACGAGGGTTGCCAGAGAGATTTGGCAAGTTTTTGCACCAGATGCGCTTTCTGTTGCACCCAGCCACCCAGACTGTGACTTGGCGCAACAATGTGTGTAAAGTGTCTTGCCCAAGAACACATCAATGATACAAACTGGCTCAAGCAGAAATTCACTCACCATCCATTGTCATAAATCAGTACCACAATGGATGTTATTTTTAGTCTGAATTAGATTAGATGCTTTCTGTTTTTTTATGTAGGTGTATTTCTTTCTTGTTCTTGCATTTTTCAGCTGCAATTCTGCAATTTAGAGCCGGTTTACACGAGAACGCTTGCGGGTAAAATGAGAAAATATTTTATCGGAAGCGCCTTGTGTTTAGACAGTGACGCGTTTTGGGGGCTTAAAAACGACACACTTTCGCGTCATCGTATGCACGCAGATTTCCTCCTGAAAACACTTGTCTGACCGCGGGGGAAAAAAAGTGAAGACACAACACCACTTTTGCTTCTTGTGTTCAGACCATCATCATATAAACATAGCTTTAGTTCTGATTATTCAAAAAGTCTTTACTCTGAATCACTGTTAACAATGTCACAGCAGAAAAAAGCCTCAGTCATGAAAAGTCAAGTTAATGGACCTGTTGTCTGTATGTATTTTAGATCAATATTCCATTTTTGCTATAAACTAAATGTAAAACGATCTAGGCTACGTGTTCAGCTACCAAGAAAAAGACATAATTCATACTTTGCAGTAACATCATGCTGTTTTTTTTTTTTTTTTTTTTTTTGTTTCTATGGTAGAATGTTCCGTCACCAAACACTGCCTGATTCATTTTTAGATCTGAAAACTCACAAACAAAAAATACTAAAATTGATTTAAATAACACATTTTCAGGAGCCTATGATCAATACAAATATGTATAGCTGACCTGTTGTAGTTCCAGCTAAATCAGCTCTTTCTGGTCAGATTGTATCAAAATAAAGCTCAGATTTAAGTCTAAATTGACTAACAGAGATTCAGACAGAGCAGTGCCTCCAGTTCTCCTCACACCTCCAGAGAGTGTTGATAATATCAGCTCCAAAGTATCAATATTAGGGTGACCAGACATCTCTATGTACCCGGGATAGTCCCAGGGCCTGTCCACACGACAACGTTTTTTGGTTGAAATAGTGAAGTTTGTATTCGTTTTGACCTTTCATCCACATGGAACCGGTGTCTCAGGTGGGTGAAAATTGTGTTTTTGAGAACGGGTTCCAGAGTGGAGGAGTCTGCGAACACCAGCGCTGTGTTGTTGTTTCAAAAAACAAAGATGGAAAATGATGACGTCATGACCCTGTCATTGCCAGGGTCTTCTGAAGTAGTGAAGGAGCTGCTCCTGTCGCCCAGCAACCGAGACAATGCTAATGCTGACAACGTGCACCATGCACACGGATCAATAACAAAGATTATGCACGAGTAATTAAACTGCTGGATTTTAATTCTCATCTAAATCTTATGGCTAAAAACAAAAACTTATGTTTAACTTTTGCAAAACAAAACGGCTATATTTCTGGGATACATCTAAAATCGGCTAAATGACCTTGAAGTTTAAAAAGCAGTGATGAGATCTGCATTATTAAATATCATTATCATTGTTAACAGCGCCACATACAGGTGTGGCACATGTATTACATCATTTACACTCAGTGCTCAGTTGTCGTCTGGACATGAATATTTATTGATCCAACACGTGTGTGGACGCAAATTTTTTCAGCTCATAAAAAAATCCAGGAGCGTTGTCGTGTGGCTGTAGCCTCAGTTTGGAGCCCTGTGTCCCCTGTCCCAGCAGATTTATACAAAACCACTGATTTGACCCAGTTTTATACAAGAAATGTCCCAGGTGTCACTATTTTTGACCAATTTGATTTAAACCCGAACTAATCTAAGACTAAACCAGGTCTACATCAGGTCTAGAACAGGACTATCATGATTTTTGATTAATCTGATCCCCGCCAACAGTAAAGAGGGGCATAAATTATCATTTGTTTCGTCAAAATACAGAAAACCATGTTTGCAAATAACTATAAAGCAAAACAATGCAGCATCAGAAGTCCCTCAGATTATGACTGTTGCGAGAATACACAATGTTACACGCTTTTTTCACTACTTTATTTACACCAGCCATCCCAATCCCAAACCCAGTTATATTACTACTGTAATGTGTGAGCTACTGTGTCCAAATAATGCCCCTTGTGGATCAATAAAGTTCGTCTAAGTTAATCCAGGCGTGTCCCAGTTTTGAATTCTGAAAATCTGGTCCCCCTATTCCATATGTCTTTTTTAAAGCAAAGGTAAAACAGTAGGTCATTTCTTTTTAATGTAAATTGTTAATATCGTCAACATTTTACAATATCAAATAAAATACTATTCAACTTGACTTTTACAGCTAAACAATGGATTTTTTTTTTATACTGTAACTAACATGAGTCATAGCATAGTGAGTTGCAGTGCTCAGAAAGAATCCCTCCTTCAGTCCCAGCATGTGTTGTGAATATATCTCCAAAACAGTGCTCATTAGTGGAGTTCCCCGTGACCACCTCACAGCAGGACGGCACCACTGCCAAGGCACGCTTCTTATCCGCAGCAACGAGCATTACATCTTTTTACATATATTTTAACTGCCCCCATGGCTTCCTCTGCATTTTAGCCGCCAGTCACAAATTAAAAACAAAACTAATACAGCTTATACAATTATATTTTCAGTATTTCATCTCATTACGTTAGTTTGCAATGCCTGCGTTGTGTGTGTTGGTTTTTTGGAGAGAACATTTTAACTACTATGATTCACTGTTTGTGGAAATCCAACCCTTATTTGATTTATAGTTGTCCGTAGGCTGCGTTTTCAACCAAACATCTGAACGCCATAAAATACACATTGTGTTTGCAAACATTTTACCACAAGAACAAAGCGCCAATGGTTTTCATCAATTTTAAAGACAAGAACTTTCTCATGTTTTACTTTGGCATGTATTGTAATTGCGGCTTATATTATGAAGAATGCAGTAAATATTCGTTACATAATTCTTTCGCTGACGATGGCGTAAAAACAGATGGTTTGATTTAATAAAAGAACAAAACACTTTTTTCTTTTTTCTTTTTTTTAAAATTTGAACTCAATAGCGGAACCTTTGTCACGCAGATCCAGCGTTCCCTACGGACAGATTATCGCGTTGCACATGCTAACAGCTGCTGCTAACACGTAAACAGACAGCGGTTTCGCCATGGCAGAGGTACGTTTTTAAGCTTAAATTATTGTTTTTTTTGCAAGATGATCATGAATATAGATGCCGGAATCGAACTATCACCATGTCACAATCATCGGAGGCTATGTTAGTTTTAAAAATGTATAAAAATAAAAGTACAATAGCCCGGTTTAGCATCGAAGCTAAATCATAAACAGGTTATAACATCTGTGGCTTTACGAAACATTCCGACAGATCTTTGACATACTTGATAAACAAAGTGATCGAATTATTATAAGCCACCCTGAATGTATAGAACTGCATTTTAGATTAATTCATAGCTAATTATAGGTTGGCGTTTTTATTCCTACATTTAAGATAAAGCTACGTTGCCCTATGTGTGAGTGTTTTAGTTCTCTTGGCTAATGTTAAATATAATCTATGAATTATTAATAAGATCAGATAAGAATGTACTTAAGGAAGATTGTTGTTGTATGCTGTTTATTTATAGTCCTGTTATTAAGAACATGTAAAGAGTAGGGCTGGGTATCATTCAGAAGTTCCTGATACAATACATACCTCGATACATACCACAATACATAGGCCATGTTACGGTACATACCTCGATACATAGGCCATGATACGATACATACCTCAATACATAGACCACAATACAATACATACCTTGATACATAGGCCTCGATATGGTACATACCTTGATACGTAGGCCACGATAAAATACATACCTTGATACATAGGCCACGATACGGTACATACCTCGATACGTAGGCCACGATACAATACATACTTTGATACATAGGCCATGATACAGTACATACCTCGATACATAGGCCATGATACGGTACATACCACAATAAATAGGCCACGATACAATACATACCACAATACATAGGCCAAGATACGATACATACTTTGATACATAGGCCACGATACAATACATACCTTGATACATAGGCCACGATACGATACATACGACAATACATAGGCCACTATATAATACATGCCTTAATACATAGGCCACGATACGATACGTACCTCGACACATAGGCCACGATACGATACATACCTCGAAACATAGGCCACGATACAATATATATCTCGATACAGTGAGCTTATGATTCAATACGATATATTTCAAATTGATTCGATACAGTTCAATACAAAATAATGTCTAAATCATGGCTGTGATTCTAAAAGTCTTTGTAAATCACTTCTTGTGCAAAGATCATATGAGACACAAACATTTTAATCCTCAAAAGAGTGAAAATGTCAAATGAGTTGCCTAAACGAATTTCCTTCCTTTAAAGCAACAAAACTGTAGCTTTGTAACAAAATAATTTAGTAAAATATACCAAAAAAATACTCTTGGTGATATATCGATACAGCAGCTCACGATATCGATACTGTATCATCACATTAAACGATACAATATATTGATGTTTTAAAATTTTTGCACATCTCTAATAATCTAGTAGATAAATAAAAAAATTAATGAATAAAAAAAAAAAATATATATATATATATATATATAATATATATATATATATATATATATATATATAAAAATAATAATAATAATAAATACATAATATATACATTCTTGTAAAACTGGTAAAATGTTATTGTCAGAGCATGTTTTGGCTAATTTGTAATTTGTACTGTAATTTCAATAATGGTTATAATTGTACTTGTTTATTTATTTATTTAGATTTAAACAACTTTATAAATCCACAAGGGAAATGATTTGGACACAGTAGCTCACACATACTAATATAATATAATAATAAAGAGTAAAAATTATAAATAGTAATAATAAATTCTAAATTCTAAAGTTGCAAAAAAGAGCAAGAGACAGTGGACAAATAAGACATAATTAAGTAAATGTAAATGTATGTCAAAATAAAATAGAAAAATAAGGAATAAAATATAAAATCTGAGCTTGAGGTCATAGGTAGACAGTGCAACAATGATCTGATGGCTGACAGGACACAGGGTTATCCATCACATAAGGGTCAGTTGTTTATTTATTTCAAACCTCTGCAAAAATATCTTACTACTACTACTACTAACCTTATTGTGTATTGTTCCAGACTCACAGCCTGCAGGACATGAGGCAGCAGGCCGCCATTGCCTCCAAAGTGTTCATCCAGAGAGACTACTCCAGCGGGACCATGTGCCAGTTCCAGACCAAGCTGCCCTCCGAGCTCGAGGCCCGGGTGAGTGCTCCGTCTCTGGGTCACTGTCTGCAGAAGAGTATAGCACAAGGAGAAGGGTGGTGTGATAAATACAAGTGATAAATACGAACTGAAGTCATGCTTCTTTGCATTCGCAATTCTCTGGGATCATGTAGGGTAATTCCTCATTCATTGTTGTGTAAATGATCATGACATACTGCAAAAAAATAATAATAATAAAAATGAAAACCGAACAAACCGACCCCCGAGAGACTGAAATAAACCCCAGTCAAACTATATACAGACCCAATTTTATGCAGAAAATTAACTGTGCATCCCAAAATATTATCACACAGGCTCAAATATTCAGAGAGTTTGTGAACTAGTAACCTTGAAATTTGGTTTATAGTTTGAAATCTTGTTTTATTGTTGGCTATAGTACCCATATTGAATTTATTTACATGTACCGTATTTTCCGGGCTATTAGGTGCTCTGGATTATAAAATGCACTATCATTAAATGGTCTATTTTTGAACTTTTTTCACAAATAAACTGCACTGGACTTTAAAGGAAACCCAACAGTTGGATGGGTGAGTGGGACTTTGTTTGGCGCGTTCACTGTGACTCTGGGCTTTGTTCAGTTGTGGCGTGTAGGGAGGGTGCTGTCTGGGACCACTGGATTGTCGGCGTGTTCGTAGTGACTCAGTTGTGTCTAGAAGTGGCACATTGCACTCGCTTTTTGTGTTCGTTCCTCCGTTCCATTCCTCGTCAGCGTGAAGTGATGAGTGTGGCTGCGGGTGTATGTCGCCACGCGGTCGCTGTCTGCTCCGTGTGTGTTTGTGTGTTCTGTGGGTGGTGCGGCTTTGTAGTTTACTGAAGTCGTGCTGGGACACCCGAGTAGATTAGTGTATAGGGCGCTCTGGATTGCGGGGCGTGCGGTCATTTTTTGATGGGGATAGAGGCTTAAAGGGATAGTTCGGATTTTTTTACATGAATCTGTATGGCATCCCTGTGAGCAGTGTCGTGCATCCACACTGACTTACCCCTGACAGCGTCCGGTGAGCTGAGATACTGGCAGTTTTCGGTGCTGATGAACGTAGTCCGGCAAGTTGGCTGGGGACAGTAAAATAAAGTGTTTTTCTTCTCAAAACAATATGTGTTCAAAAGAGTGATACATTTGCATCACAAAACCATCGTTGAATAAAAAGTCAGACCTCATAATCACTTGGCACTATTTTCTCTCTCTTCGTATCACTGCGCGCTGCCGCCAGGTGACAGCCGCTCCTGGTTCACTATGTTTACTGCTCGGAATGTCAGCGACAACATGTCTGATTACAACACCGACAATAAACACATTGCCTTTACCACAAAGCCAAGGGGAGATCTTGGTGAACCCGAATATACTGATGCCAAAATTCGTCAGATGGAGTTAGAACAGGCAGAGAGAGAAGAGAGACAGAGAAGTGGTACAAGTTGAAGCTGGAGCCGTGAGAGACCGAGTGAGCGACAATCACCATCACGTCATTTATAAACTTGTATACAGCGAACATAGAGCCTCCACTGTGACTGAAGCATGGACGACTAATAGAAACATGAATCATCCACACGTCCACGTAGCTGCTGCCAACAGTGTACGCCACATTTACAATAGTAATAACAGTCGACTTATAAAGTTATGTTTTGTAGAAGCTTCACTGGTGATATGACACTGAGTGATTTACTGCACACAGAGTTACAGCTGATTCTTGAGTCTGTCCTCTTGTAAACATAGCAGCACTTCTTCGTTCTTACCTGGTTTGGTTTCCACGTTGAAGCCAAAGACAAGAAGCCAAAGTTTCCTCAGCGCAAAGTCCATGACAGCCAGATTTTTGTTGTTACAGCCTGAATAATCACAAGTCCGCACCATTTTTTAGATATATTCTTATGTATGTTATACAAGCTTATGTACTTATCGCTCTAGCTCTCATGTTAGCTCTCTCGCGTCGCGGCGGTCTGAGCATGTAAACACTGCCGAACAACAGCAGAAAGTGATGGATTCGTGCGTGACTGTCACCTGGCGACAGCGCACAGTGATACGAACGGAGAGAAAATAGTGCTAAGTGATTATGAGGTCTGATTTTTATTCGACTGTGGTTTTGTGATGCAAATGTATCACTCTTTTAAACACAGATTGTTTTGAGAAGAAAAACACTTGATTTTACTGTCCCCAACCAACTTGCCGGACTACTTTCGTCAGCACCGAAAACGGACAGTATCTCGGCTCACCAGTCGCTTTCCGGGGTAAGTCAGTGTTGACGCACGACACTGCTCACAGGGATGACATACAGATTTATGTAAAAAAATCCAAACTATCCCTTTAAGAGCGCGCCCAATAGCCCGGAAAATACAGTAAATTAAACGTACACAGAGCAATTTAGAATACATATACATTCACTCCCTGTATTTGTGTTGTTAAACTTGCAAGGTGGTTGAAGTGTCTTGCCCAAGGACGCACCATATGCACTGATCAGAGCTGGAATGAAACTACTTAAAACGCATATAGAACACCATAGATTTAATAAGTACTGTACAGCCTGGGCACACTGTTCATAAAATTTGACATGTATTTAAGGGTTGTTGAACTGACCTTACCTTACACCAGTTGAAATACATCTGTGGTGAAGGGGGCTCTGTCTGTGGCTCTAAAGTGACTCTGGCCACATTAAAGTCTGTCTGGAGTCTGCAGCAGTAAAAAAAACACTCCTCTGGTTTCACATGTCTGTCACTTCTCCTCTGGTTAGATCTGTTTTACAGCCAAAATCTGCCTTTCAAGCTCTTTACTAAACAAAGACCATGATTCTGTGTGTAATGTACAGTGTGTGACTGTTATCATTGCATTGCCCTAGACTTGCTGTCCAAGCCTCATCGACTTGCACAGGTCGTACAGATGGCGAAGAGTAAAAATCACACTAATAATAATAATGCTTTAGAGATTACATTAAAATAGCTGTTTTTGAAGATGAGCAAAAATGACAGTTGTCTGTGTAGTCCCATAGTCCCGTGGTTGTCCATTACAATAAAAAAGCTTGCCGTGAACTTTTATTGATATTTTGCAGCCGATGTCATCAACATTTTTTGGGGTGTGATGCTAACTAGAGGCACACTCTGTCTGAGGCATTTTTAGACTTTAATCTGGTCTTAATTTCAACACAGTCTGACCAGAAAGAAGCCATTTAGTTTGAACTAGGGATGGGCATTCGATTATACTTTCTTAATCGATCGTCGGGAGAATTAACGAGTGATTTTTGATTAATCACTAAAGTTTTTATATTAAAACTCTCATCATTATTATTGCTATTATTAATCTGCATAAATAAACTCAACTTTGTAACATATAAACCATAACCACTCTAGAGCCACGTCAGCCCGTTTGACATTATAATGTCTTTAATGCAGCTTTGACACATTTGTTTACGTTTTACAGAAACAAAACTTAAAACCACATGGCTCATTGGCGTAAACTATAAGCACAAAGCTCTCTCCTTGTGTTCAGCTTCTGTTGGACTAATGGATTCGACTCAGTAGAATATGAGTGTTCTTTCTGTGACAGAAGGATGTTGATGATGATGATGGTGAGTGTGTTCTGTGTGTGTGTTGTGTTGGAGATGGTTCATGTTTTCAGAGATCAGACCTGTGTAGGTTTAGTGCAGCTCTTTATTTAACATAATTTCACTTTATTTATGTTGGTCACTTTATTTATTTTGGCTCCTGTTGTGATGAAAAGACTGAAAAGTCTTTGTCTTTTGGACACATGTGCACTCAACTTTATGTTGCAGTAATCAGGATACTGCATTTACATGCACCATGATGAAACCGGGGATCATAAGTGGGACAGCGATGTGCATGTAAACACAATCACTGAGTGGTACAGTGATCTCCAAGGAGGAGCCAGAGCCCAAACGTGGGACTGTGAGGCCACAACTCCAGTGTTTGTGTCAGACGCAGCCTCTTCTCCTTACGCTGCACACACCAACCTACAGTCTGTTTGTCGATTAAAAAAGAATGTGATCAACGAAATTCTTAACGATCATATCGTTAGTCGACTAATCATGCCCATTCATAGTTTGTACTACAACAGGAGATCTGATTTTTACTGTGAAACAAGTCTCTCTCAAATAACATTATAGTCATAAGTTAGCTAGCATTAGCCAACAATTTTTCCGTTAGTTACTCTCACCTTTTTGTTGAAAATCCTGTTGAAAATCCAACATCCAACAAAAATCCAACATAAACAGGATAATGAACACTTGTACTGATCAGTCTCCTGGAAATGTCCTGTTTAAATCCATTGTTTTATTTTTTTTAAATTGAGTTTCAGATGATCTAAAAACTTTTTGACAATGTTTGCTAATGTCTGTTTGTTTTGTGTCTCCATGGTAACTGCCGAACATTCCTCCATATACATGCATGTAGAACAACCCCAGTAGGATGTCTTTAAACTATCAATGACAAATCTTTGTGTATTTCTGATTGATTGCACAAATATTGCATACAATATTCATTTTGAAATTGCTCACCTCTACTTTAATAATTAGCATGCATATAGGTTGGGTCTGCCAAACTTACTTACTCAAAGTTTAATTGATATCAAGATTAGGGACGGGCATGATTAGTCGATTGATCGATAACTGATCATGAAGAATTTCGTTGATTACGTTCGACAAACCGAATGTTGGTTGCTTTTCTTTTAATGAAGTGATGCAAATGTCCGGGTTTTCTTTACCTTTTCACTGGGCCATTAAACTGAGCGTCTCTCGTATCTCTCTGTAACTCAGAAGGAGCGAGCACACACAAACAGTCGGTCAGTCTGTAACATGCCGAAGCGCAAATTCGCTTTTAACGATGACTTGTACAAGAAATTCCCCGCTTTCCATCCTGGTTGAGACAAGTGTGAGGCCATGTGCACAGTGTACAAAGCAGCGCATATGTTTCGGTGTCCAGTGGGAGTGTCAGGGACCTCAAAGCACCAGGACACCGAAAAACATTAAAAAGCTTTGCCAGGT